ATATATATATAGTCATATGTGTGTTGCACGTATGTTCCACGTATTATAAAGAAAAGTGTGTGTGCCGGAGACAAACAGTGAAGAAAATGTTGACATTTACCACTGCAGTACATCCTCCAATCCAGGAGGATGTACTGCAGTACAAGACCACTCTAATCTCAAGATGTCCAAAGACCCCTCTAAAGCTACACGATAACGGCACGACAACGACACTATAAAAATGCGCTCAGTGTTGAAGGATATAAACACCAGACGCGATGATTATACAGTATGTCGTTGTTTGCGTGTCGTTATCGCGTCTAATGTAAATTTAGCTTTATTCGAGACCACTTTCAATTTTTCTTTTATTACAAACAGCTAACACCTTTGGACCGAAGACTAGACCTACCCCACATTTTCAGGTCCCGAGGGTGGTTTGGAATTGGAGGGCGAACTGTATTATATTGTAGGCGATCCGAGCGTTAAACAAATGCACTGTTCATGACTAACTTCCATGCTCTGGTTAACAATTGTAGATAATAAACGAAGGATTCGGCAACCCAGTTATTGCCGTTTGGTGGTATACATGATTGCCCTTTGCGAAATATTTTCAAAAGTCCGCACAAAATTAATTCACTTATTCGCCTCCGCTAACACAGTCATTGATGCTCTCAGTTATATGATTCTGATTTTTATTATTGAGCTCTGTAAATTGTATATAATTACAATATATTTTATATTCCAAATAACAACGAACCGGTTGTTTATTGTAACAGTGGACCAATACTGGGGTATCGTATCCGCATGACCTTTCGAGATGTCATTGAATTTGTTTCTAAGGTGTCTTGGTGTGTTATAAGGTTGGTTATCCTTCGCTCGTGTTTTTCCAAACCAAAAGACTCAAAGAAGCTAAATGTTATTGCATAATGTAATACCAGTAAATTTAGGCTATGGGTGCTAAATAGTTGGTACATCAACAATATTAGGCCTGACTATAGTCAGGCCAATAGTGTTGGTAAACCGATCATTTAACATTAATAACGTTTTGAGTTCTGAGATCCAACTATAAATGCTGTGTTATGGCGGCCTGTAATAGATAAACAATAGAGAGGAATTCCACAAACGTTCGTTGGTCACTCTAGTCAGAAATAAAATTGTTATAAAGTAATAGATGAAAGAGATTTTTAATTTCCTTTAAGTATGCAAGATGATTCCAATTTCGATTAGAAGTCTCTGGAGTTCGTTCTTGAGACTGACTTTACAATATTAAACACTAATAGGCCTAAAATGGGTTTTTGTGTCTGTTAGGATTTAATTTCTTCTTATTGTATTTATTTACCCGATATAGGCTTCAAATTCAACAATTAAAGTTGAAAGGGCCAAATAAGTTACTCACTTTCAATAAAACATAGATAAATATAGTGATTTAATTACAACATTTTTTTTTAAAAAAAAGGAAGTGGCTAATTTTGCACCACTCTTTGACCAATATTAAAATTCTAATTGAATGTGTACCGTATGGTATGCTCTAATTGACATTTTCATATTTTTAGTATGTGTTATTCTGTGTAATATGTGTTTTCTTTCTTATATTTTAGTATTCATCGTACCGGGAAAGCAAATTGTTTAATTAATTTTTAATTTTAATTTTATTCTCTCACATCAACATTAATATTTTAATTTTATTTTTATTTTATTTCCTTCACACCCAACAGTCACTTAGAGGACTAAATAACTTAAAGTCTCTATCTGAGGCTTAGGGAGTGGAGTTGTTTTTAGTCGTGAGATAATTAAATTCCTGCTGTGACACGAATTGAACCCAGAATCCTGGGATCAGAAGGGGAAGCATCTTAACCACTGAGCTATATAACTCCACTCAAAAATACATGCAAATTGCATGTATTATATTCATTACTGTATGTGACCAATTAACATGAACTTGAATTTAACCAACTTAACAAACTAAGCATTTAAAACAAAACTCGACTTATATTTGAAACACACATTATATAGGCCTATATATTACAAAATGCTTATTTTTCAATGGATTCTTAATAAACCATAACGATGTTATGGCCAATCACGACATTATCATTTGAACACAGGGATTAATATTGCAATTTTATATTTAATATTTAACTAGTACAATGCATGCAAATCCGCTATTGCTATATTAAGTAATAATAACAATAAAGACAGAAACCAAAGTAATATATAAATAGGCCTAGCGAAAGCAGTGAACACGGCAGATGACCGTTCAGGTGAATTTCTTTCATCCATATAAAAGCAACACGATTACGTATTCAGAAGATCATAGGATAGGTTTACATAGGTCGGAAACTCGATCTCTACCGGATGTTTTATAAGCGGGCATTATTTCCACAATAAGACATCCATTTGCAGACAGACGCCTTGTGATTATGAAGTTCGCTTTAAAATAAACATATCGGACCCTGAACACTTAAATGGTAGAATATTTTAATAGTAAATATAACCGGTACCCTATCAAATAGGGACACATCCATGGCATATTAGTTTGTATTATAATATACATTATTGTATTCATTATTATTGAGTTGATAGTATTTCATTGCTATTAGTGTATGATTAAAGAATAATAACAGAAAAAAGGAAGAGACATTATTTTCGGAATATACATAATAAATGATCAACGAACATTTTTATAATTACGCTTTTGTAAAATCTTTATTCACCAAAAAATGTAAATTCAAAATCACTCGCTATAATACGATCACAAATGGTTTAGGCCTCAGTGTTTTTAAAATATCATAAAATTTCATAGAACTTTAAAAAATTCAATCTCGTTTTATAATTCCACATTGACGAAGAGTTTAATAGGGTACGTTAATTAATGATAAATATAGAAGTTTGTCTATTAGGCCTATATGATGTTGGAGTTATCACGACGTCACGATTGACTATTACAACATTTTACATTCGTTTTAATATACTATTTGTGATCACGAGCACTTGTCCAATCGATGAGACTTCTGGGGACTAATGGGACTAATAATACGGTTACTCGGATACATTTAAAGTTTTTCCATGTACTGCGGTATTTCAATCGACTGAATTCAACACGAGCATTTTATTAAAAATTCATAAATTATACATTCAATCTGGCCTTGACTACAAGATGTAATATTTTAGCATGATTTTTGTAAAACATTTTTGAATAAAAGTGAATAATAATAATAATAATAATAATAATAATAATAATAATAATAATAATAATACATACATACATACATACATACATACACCCATACATACATACATACATACATACATACACACATACATACATACATACATACATTCATACATACTAGGATCTATTTGTTTTCTTATAAATGAATTGCACTCTTGTGCTTCGATCCTATTGAGTCATATTATTATTAATCAAAATAATAGCTTAATGCCACTTCCTTAAAGGTTTTGCATAATTGTGATTCCTGAAGATTAATGTCGCCTTGGAAGGAATTAAACGTGTTAATAGTGCAAATCGACAATCATGATAAATTGTTCCTGTTTATCATCATTATTAACTTTTTTAATTTAACTGTCCTGAAGAAGATACAGATGTAAGTTTAATTTATTTATAGTTCATATTTTACAGTATTAGTGTGATTAGATTTAATTTGTTATACAGTATCTTAGGACTGTCTCTTATACACATCTAGATGTGTATAAGAGACAGCAATTAAACAGACTGATCATTAAAATGATCAATAAAATATAGAGAAGTTGCTATCATTCTGCTAATGGCGAATACTTCAGTGTAGTATAAAATGATTTTCATGAACACAGCATAAAAATACAATCATTCTGTTGTGTATGGCGATATAACAGTTAAATGTTTGCTGTAAATCACGTAGGAAGTTGTGCAGAGTATCAAATCAATTAAAACAATTATTAACTCACAAAAATGTAAGAATGAATCAGAGAACATTTAAATTTCACTGTTCATTGATTAAATTGTTTGATTGACAGAATCCTGTCGTTTAAAAAATGACGGCGATGATGATGATGACTGTAAACTAATGATGATAATTACAATGATGATAACGATGAGTAGCTTATTATGAGGCTGAAGGAGTTACTATTTTTTCATGAGAAAAAAGAATCCTGATATTTTAATCTCTGTCCACACTATAAAATCCAAAAAAAAAATGGTAGTGTGGATAGATTTTTACATAATTGGAACCCAGTGAGTACATTGAAATTTGCCATCTTAACTACCCAAAATGGCTTCACACCACTTGTAAATTAAACAGGTTTATATTGTACAGCGCAATAAATGATTATACTACAGAGGCTGTTTCAGATGACCGGTCGCCCTGCCGCCACAGCCCCATGCAACCATGGTGAGGCTAAGGTGGTCGGACCCCTATCCATATTCTTTTGTAGTTCCCACTATTTTGAATTTCTGGCTCTGCTATTGAACTTCTTTTCATTTTATCACACTGTGTCAGTTTTGTCCTTGATATGATATTTATTACTTTATTCATGGAGGTCTACCTATCCATACTTTGTGGTATTCAGCCCACCAACTTTCACTAATATAGTAGGCCTACCCTGTCTATTGCCTTATTGTACTTTATGGTCAACGGCTAAAGTTCACCATAGTGAACCACCATGAAACAGTTCTAATGAACTCGAGAATATATTATAATTTGTGAGAATCCGGTTGATTCAAATTAAATACTAATATAGTAGGCCTACCCTGTCTATTACCTTATTGTACTTTATGGTCAACGGCTAAAGTTCACCATAGTGAACCACCATGAAACAGTTCTAATGAACTCGAGAATATATATTATAATTTGTGAGAATCCGGTTGATTCAAATTAAAGGAATGCATTAGGCCTACTTCAATTACATATCAAATCTATGTCTAATATCGTCCTTATATAATAGTTGCCGCACTCCAATAGGCCAATGGTTCCGTATTATATATCTATGTTTCTTAAGATAATGCAACATCCATGATTAACCATACCAATGTTTCTTAAAATGCTAATGGCGAGTCGAATGGCCGATGCGCACCGTGACGTAGAGCCATAATATTGGCGCTGTCGAAAGGCATGCTCGCTTATGGTTCTGGTGGTAGAAAAAGTCTTTTCGGATATAAACCGGAGGACCAGTACTACACAATTTTGTTTCATGTGTCTAAAAAACCCAGTGCATCGTTCGAGACGAGTACGGGGTTACCCCGATGTACTGGTCCATACAGCCCCTGTTGTGGACAGACGAGAGTAGCTCCCTACCGGTAGCCAAGACACGAACAGACCCTTAGCGTAGAAGCAAGTTGCTGTATGAGCTAGTCCACACCTCGAGCGCTTTGATGGGTATAAAGCGATCCAACATTGCATTACACTTCTGGGAGGTAATAATATTGCAATATTGCAACAAACTGTTGTATTCCCATAATATATAGTCATGACGTGTCCATATATGGTCATTATGTGATGTCATCATGACCATAGGCACGTCATGCTTTTGTCAGATAACATCTGTTAGTCTGGACTATCTTAGGAGGATGATTTTGCATCATCAATGCTCTTTGGTAAGCTAGTATTTCTATAACTCTGATTTCCAAGGTATTTTCATATCCATATATTCACACCAATGTTTATGATGCTTATGTTAAAAATGCTGCCTGTGAGTTTAATGTTAGAAAGTTTAATGCTTCTATATCCAATTTTTTAGCTAATGTTTACAAATCAATGTTTTTGACATGTTGATGTTTTCACTACAGTTTTTTTCTAAGATATTTACGTACCATCAATGTTTCTTGGGGTACCGTGTTAGTAGGCTTAATATTTACATTTCCGTATTTTCTAGGTTGCCAATATTATTTTACTACATCCGTCTTTATAAAATAATACGGTACCACGCCAATGTGTTTTACAGCATTACCAACATCTATGTTTTAAAATATCAATTTTGTCTTCATATCACGTATAAGTTGATGCTTCCACATTCTTATATGTCCCCAGAATCCTTATAATGTTGATTTTGCAATCAATTAGTTTATGATCATGATATTAGCGTTGTATTTATGTCTGCTACTCTACCATTAAATAGATTGTTCCCCCGAGTCTGTCGGCTTACAAAATGGTGACCATCAGTTGTCTGCGTCAAGTTCAGCCGAGTCCCGACCTGACAATGCCCGTTACGACTCAGTTCAACCTGCTGGATCTCCGCAGATCTCTTGTTGGCAACCTGCGTCCACAGATCTAATGGCGTGGATTCAGGTGGATTTTGACCAGATGTACGACATCTGGAGCATTCAATTCCAAGAGTGCGGAGGCAGTGAATCGGGAACCACCAACGTGCTATTAAATAATGTGGAATACAGTCTAAATAGTAATGGAGACAACTTCATTACGTTTTTAGACCCAAATGGACTCGACTTTGGGGTAAGAAGTCTTTATTTTTGAACAAAACTTTATTGTTTAAGGTAAATTTAGATTTTATTTATTAATTTTATTGTGTACACTAACACATTATAATGTCGTGTTGCGTGAGACACATTCATTTTTAAAGCTAAAAGGCTACGTTTATTAACCTTTTATAGGTTTAATTTTGTAACTCCCTAATGTGATAATAGCTAAGAATTTAATATTGAATTGAATACATATGACAAAATATTAATCCCAGTAACCACAATGAAATTACTCATATACGTCACTTCAGTTCTGTATTGTATATTCTGTATAGTCTTTTGAATGAATGAATAAATGGAAGAATGAATGAATGAATGAAAGAATGAATGAATGAATGAATCACGAGAATAACTACAGAGAACCTAAACAGGGAAGTACTTATTCGATTGCATTTTCTCGATTACGATTAAAGCACCTCATTCCCGTCCCCACTTTTGAAATGAAAAAAATGATAGCCCAGAACGGCTCAAATGTTATTTTCAGGCGTCTAGAACACAGAAATTTCGCGGGGATAGTGTTGTCTCGATCTGTCCAACTTTCGGCCCCGCCTTTTGGACTCTGGATCTCTGGATCCGCCCCTGATTCCAAAATTCGATAGAGACACTCTCAACAAAAACAATTCTTCTCAGAAATATAGAGTAATTATACATGTTGTGCTGCAAGCATTTATCATTGTTAATTTACCATACACAGCGTCAAAAAATATCAATAGCCATTGTTTTTGTTCTGATTTTATTTTCTGGGTGGGGATGGGGCTTTTACTGCATTAGCAGTGAAATCCATTCTTTTTTCTTTCTTCGTTACCGTTTCCCTATGCACAAGTGGGTTATTTTGCCCGGCACTTCGATCACTTTCCGTGCTTAAACCTTCTTCAAACTTTGTTCAAGCAAGGAATATATGCTGTATCAAAGATGTGCCTATTAAAATTCATTTATTCTACATAGTTTGAATAGCCCTATTATTAAACAGGTAATTAAACTTTTAAACTAGCTACATCTACACTTTCTTCTATTTGTTTAGTTTTTCTTCTTCCATTTTCTTTTCTGATTTATCCATTTATTCTTTATTTTTTCTTTCCTGTTCTGAAAAGCGCATAGAGACAAATGTTATAATGTGTTATACACGTGTACTGTACAACCATGACCATTCTTGCACTTGTATGCTGTTTTGTTGCTGCCGCAGCCGCTGTTGTTGCTTTTGCTGCTGTTCCTGTTGTTGAAGTTGTTGTATAACACACACTTATTATTCCATCCACAGCCAGTAACTATTGATTCCCTCCAGTTTGAAGGTGGACTCGCGACGCCTGTCGAATTTTGGAAGCCAATTGTAGCACATCGGCTGCGGTTGAATGTTAGAGTGGGATCAAGGTTCCGCTTTGAGGTGTTGGGATGCATACTGAATTCCACTAACTGGTGTAAGTATACAGTACAGTAAACGGCAACTAGTTTAGTCGTGGTAATTATAAGTTTTCAAAATATCACGAACTGTCGCTACTACAATGATTTACTGCAATATTTACTCTGCATATCCGCCCCCGATTCAATCGAGAAGGCTGCGATTCGTCTCCGACGGTAAAGCTGGATCAGTGTCGTCCACTCTTGAGCCACGCATCGGTTATTTCCGTGGTTTATACTAAGTAATTAAAAGATATAATATTCAAAATGTAAATTAATGAGTAGGGAATAGTTTTCCAAAAGATGTTTTGTTAGCCTACCCTAGGGCATAGCGGATGCAATTTTTGGCCTAGTCATCCAGTATAATCACCAATATTGAGCGTTTCCATAAAACCGATACCGAACGTCGCCGGCAAACATAAATACAGTAGGCCTAATAATAAAGTGTAGCTATTTTATTCAAACTAGGCTTTAGTGTAACCGTGGCGGGGCCGTAAGGCTTTAGGGATTTAATCAAGAGGTCGAGGGTTCGAGACCGACGTCGGTCACACTGCTTATCACACTCCTTGGGACACTTATCATAAGTTAGTACTTGGTAGGAGTGAATGATAATGAGTGACGCACATAAATATAAATACTTTAATACAGTGTAGGCCTATTTGTTTTTTTGTATTTTCAGATTGTGATGATGGAAATATCGATATCGAAGATTCAGGTAAACAAACCAAAAATAATGCAACATTAAAATAATAAATAATATAATTTTTTATTATAAATTAATATCATTTATTATCTTGACTCTAAATGTGTATGTGAATTAAATATTTTACAACCTTCAGGTACATGGTTTAATATTAATTAGCAGGCTGTTCAAGACACTATTGGTTTACGTTTAATTAGCAACCACCAGATATACATAATTTACTATTAATTATACAGACAGTCGGGACGAATATATTGTTTTCTTTTAATTAGCAACCACCAGATACATTGGTCTGCAAAATTAAATTTAGATTGGCTTGCTGTGCAAAATCATGATTTGCATTTAGTTATAATTAACACATGCTACTTTATTAAGTTATGTTGGTTTGTGAGTTCATTAGTATCAATTTACAGTACGCGTAATATTTGCAAATATGTATTATTATATTTATTATTATTATACCTGTTCTTATTATATTTACATTGTAATTAATTCACTGTATAGAATTAGTATATCAACATATTATATTTTCTTTGTGTGAAATAAACTTGAAACTTGGATTTATTATTAATATTATTATTATTATTATTATTATTATTATTATTATTATTATTATTAGTGTTGTTGTTGTTGTTGTTGTTGTTGTTACTACTATTAATATTGTTATAGTGCATATCAAATACTAAGTATAAGTAATTGAGTAGGGTATAAGTAATTGACATTACAGTAATTAACTTTATCGAATGTATATTGGGATTTGTACACTCCGGTTAACTCCATCAAAACAGGACTCCTACTGATTTCTCCAATCGCAATTTGTTCTGATTTCAACATACAATATACCTTTGTATTGGTAAATAATAATTCCCCTGTAAATGCCAGGAGTCGCCATGACTGAAATTTATTCTAATTAAAAAAACCAAATCCCAACTATTAAATTACTTGCAGTTTAGATTTCAAATAAGTGATTGATTGAAGAATATGACTATGATTTTCTTCCTACTAACGACAGTAGGTATTTCCTAGACATACATGCATTCGTTCGACAAAAAGAAATATATTTTCTCGAAGGCAATAAACATCGCGATAACGTGTTTGTTATTATAGCGTCGTTGACATGCTGCAAGACATGGTAATAGAAACACCGCCTGACCAAGGGGAGGCTAAAAACACCACCAACAAACACTACTATTAATAAACATAACTAAAGTATTTTAGATATCTAATAATTCAAACTTAATGGTTTGATTCTGGAACTACCACAATACCCAAGACCTAACCGTTTACACTAACGTTCAGTTTCTATTATCATTCGAATTATCATTAGAAATTTGTGTGAACAGTTTAATATTCCAGTAAATCCATGCCGAGCCACGGAGCTCATAATGGGCTGGAGCTTATTCCCAGTTTTAAGTAGCGTGAAATGGATGAGAATTTGGTGGCTCCCCCTGGGCGGGACGTTGGTCCACCGCAGGTTACTCCCAGTAATTTGCTAGCTCTCTTTGATACAGTTGTGTAGACTGAAGCAGCGTAGATAAAGTGCCTTGCTCAAGGTTTAGTACGGTATTGAAACAATTCTTTCAGTAACTAAAATAATGTCAACTTACTTAAATGCAGTGTGGAGTGATTACGAATAGTTCTTTGCTTATGTATTGTATAACACATTGGCATATAAATATAAAATTTAATTAAATATCTGTATATGTAACATCTAAATTAGAAATCGGATATAATGAATCGATGAAAGCCACTCTATAGTAATCTAGTTTACAAAGTAATATCTAGCAGCTAAATGAGGCTACGGTATGTGTTACTACAGTGTTGACGCAATACCAACAGGTTATACAACCTTTATTGCAGTTTGATAAGCCTTTTACAATTTATTCAGCAAAGCGTGTTTGGTTTCTTCGTAAACAAATAAAAATCTCTTGACCGTGTTATTGTATCAGTCAGTACATGTCAGTTAGTTTGCAATAATATATCCAGAAAAAGTATAATGTCGCTTGCAAAACTTACGCAATGGGGCTTTTCCGGGCCTTCTTATTATTTTAAAACAGTGGTATCTGAGTTCCATTTTTACCGAGTAGGAATAATAATATTAATATAATTTACTATGATTTTCTAACTGCAACAAGCTAGTTTCTAGCTCATCTATGCCTCCGCTATGTGTGAGCGTAAACGTCGGTTGTATGATAGGAAGTGTCTGGTGGTTAGATATGCGGCTCTACCGTGTGGTTTAATGATGATATGACACTCGCCTTGATAGAGAGGATGAAAGTTGTTTGAATCCCAACACAGAAATATCATTTTCGTTAAGAAGAGCTATGCTTGATACGATTGGGACACCAGGTTCATATTTAGAACGCTAAGCAGCAAACCTTATTTATACATACATATATTGTATAAATATAGGGTATTACAAACAGAAACAAAAACTCTTCATTCATTCATCCAACCGTTCGTTCGTCTGTTCGTTCATGCATTCATTCATTCATTCTTTCACTGCATAAAAACTAATCAATCTTATATTGTTTTTTTTTTTCTCTTTTGTGGAGTCGTCCCACTTTTTTAAACCATATTTTTTTCTAATTTTCAATTTCTATCCCCACAATTATACACACTTTTTAGTATACAGCAGTATTAATTATTATTATTAAATATTATTATTATTTTTTTTTTTATTATTATTACTTTTGTTTCATGTTTTTTCAGTATTTATGATAACAGTATATAATAAAATGACACTTTATTCAGGAACCAAACCATAGTTCTGATTTATTCAATCAGGTTTTTCAAAATTGATAATAATAATAATAATAATAATAACATGATAACAATAATAATAATAATAACATGATAACAATAACAATAATAATAATGATAATAAGGGAAGCCTTCCGAAACAGCACAGATCACTTTTACTCATAAATAACAAAAACACTTTCGAATTAATTTTTGTAGACAACCTTGTTTGCCCCTATCCTGTAACAGCTGTTTTGGGGGAACTGGATCGCTCATCATATGCAGCTGATTCTGAATCTGAGGGCAATGAAGGGTGGAGGGCAAGCTTTAGTGAGTCTGGAGGATGGAGGCCGGCATCATCAGACACTCAGACTTCGTGCTTACGTATATCATTTCCATATCGTATGAGAGTAGAAGGAATCATCGGAAAATTTGATGGACAAGAGAATCTGGCCGATTTGTTCTATTTTCAAGCTTCATATGATGGTAGTTTTTGGAGCCTGAATAGGATAATTGTAAGTAGAACGAATTAATAAAATAAACAAATTTATATTATTTTAATATAGAGCTATAGTATAGCTTTGTAAGCCCAAATTCATACATTCTTTATCAATCCACTGTTTCAATCCAGGCGTTATTGAAACAGGTATCATAAGAACATGTAACAAAATATGGTGCCCTTGCATAGAGTTTCAATTTGTAAACCACATAAATAAACCATTTTCGTAGTCTGAGCTGGATTAATCGACATAAACAAATATAATACCACATACATACTATCGGATTATTAAACAGTCAATTAAAACACTATAAATTTGTAAACGGGACTTCGTCATCTTTTATTCTTTTTTTTTTTTTGTTTTTTTTTTCTTCTTTAAATTATTTTAGGCTCAAGGCCAAGAGTATGCCAAATAGCGAACTTTAGTGGCATATCTCTTCACAAGACAAACTTTAACACAAGATGATCTACATATACTAAGTCTTATTATTAGGCTTAGGGAGTGAAGTTGTTTTGGTCGTGAGACAAATCCTTTTACCGTGACAGGATTTGAACCTAGGAACCCTGGGAATGGAAGGCAAGCATCTTAACCTTGCTATTTAACTCCACTCAAAATTAATCAAAACAGGGCCAGAAATACTTGAGCTAACCATGAGCTAACAAGCACATTTTGTCTCACACACACGTATTTGTGTGTGTTTAACGCTTGCCGTTTTGTGGGACCTAGCAACAATATCCAAGGGGCGGGGCTTAGCGGAAAGTCTATTAATTAGACACATTCGGTTGGTGGATCGATCTTTCGCTAGGCCTCGCCTCTTTGGATATTCTTCCTGGGGTCCCACAAAAGACGGCGTACATAAAGCACGTGTGTAATTGCGAGGCGTGCACGTGGGACCTGCCCTTTTTCTGATTGGTCAGTTGTTAAGCTTGGTTGGTACTCGGGAAGTTACATTAATATAGTGTAATTTGTATCTGTATTAAGGTTTTTGGTAGTGATATTACTGGTTGTACCCGGAGGACATACTTTGAGTTTCCTATTTTGGCGTTGCAAGTGCGCGTTTGTTGGATATCAAGCTCATCAACTTTCTCTAGCAAACTAAGTGTCGAAATACTTGGGTGTTTGAATAATGGTGAGTAGACTTTGATTCTTTAAGTTATGTTTAATTAGTAATAAAGATAAATAACAGAGGGAAGTGATTTCATTAAAATTTACATTCAGTACGTTCCGATTTTATTTATTCAATATATTGGCAATACAACAAAGAAACGAATATTTACATGGAATAAGTTTGTATTTTGATATTAATGAGACATATTTGAAATCGGTGACAAACATCGGTTGGGTAGTGGTGCGTTCATACAACATAAAATTCTTTTAAATACAATAATTCACGCTATAGTGTACTGTAACTTAAATTTAAAATTGAAAAAATAGCACTTGTGTGGAATTGTGGAAAATAACTTATTATTTACTGCAAAGCATTTTTTGTAGTTTGAGTAATTTGGTGATACGGACCGTTAAGCCCTGCTTTCTTTGGATACTGTTGGGGTCTTTAACAGTGTACATATACGTGGGACATGCGCGTATTCCTGGCTAGTTAATAATGCGTTCTCATTGGTTAGTTGCCAAGTATGGTTGAAGCTTCAGAAAAGTTTATTCTGTGTATTCAGATATTGGCAAGCACAAACACGTGGCTCTGTCTCCTCGGTTTCTCGTCATTATATACAATTATATGTGTATAACTATGTAAATTTGTAAGTGAAATAGATAAAATGCTAAAACATCTGTGTTTACTTAAGTTGATCATGATGATGATGATAATGATGATGATGACGATGATGATGATGCAGTTACTCTGTTAATGTAAACGAGTGAATTTTCACTTGGAAAGAGTGCCTACAGGGACCACTCCATATTCACTCTTCCTCGCGTGAAAATTCACTCTTAAATGAGTGAATATTATTCTTAAAATAGTGAAAAATTACTAAATTCACTCTGAATAGAGTGAAATCCCACTCTTTCTATTTCACTCCATTAGGAGTGGTCCCTGTAGGCACTCTTTCACTCTTTTTTCACTCGTTTGCATTTAGAGAGTAACGACTACATGATGGTGATGATGATGATGTTGATGATGAAGGTGATGATGATACCGATGGTGATGATGATATGGAAAGAGTGCTTTGTGATGTAGAATGAAAGAGCAATCTGTTTATATTGCATAATAAATATTTTGTCAAAATAAGTATATAGTGTTAATTTTCTCGCAATCTAGTATTGGAGGCAATCCAAAAGTAATTGTTTCATTATGTTTATTTTTCATTTAGAATGCTTGACTCCTCTACGCATCAACCAGAAGAAAACAATTATGAATTCGTTAACAACAAGTAGCGGTGACCAGGATGATCAGCATTTTACACCAAACTCAGCCACTGATATCCTTGGTAGACTTGGTCTTGGTTGGATCCCGTCATCTTCTGATGAAAACCAATGGTTTGAGGTCGTCCTGGGCAATCCTCATATAGTATATGCAATAATATTACAAGGGTGTTCATTCGAAGAGAAATGGGTAATGTCTTACAAAATTGGTTACCAGATGCCGTTAATGATTTACATGGAATACGAATATGATGCTGAGAATTATGTTGTTATACCAACAGAACAGGTACCGTAAATATCTATGCATGTTGTCAACTTCAAATCGAAGTTATCTTATTGAAAATATTTATGATTCAGTCATACGGACAAAATAATTCACTTGCATAATTAAGTTTTATATGTACTTTAAAACATTAGCATTGATTCCATTTTATATACTTTTGTATTTTTTGGACAAGTCAATAAAATGAATCTTGATAGTTTGGAATATTATAATTACAATGTCTATATTCCACTGGTCGTTCTTCGTTAAACCACGCCCACCTGCGCAGTGGTAAAATCCACTTAACGAAGATAAGTCGAATAGAAAACTTGTAAATACGCGACAAAACAAAATGGCTGCATAGTTACCGTTTTTGAATTCTGTTAGCCTAAATTAATTTTTTGACTTCATGTGGGTAAATATTATAATTTTTGTTTTCTGAAATTTAATCCATATTATATAACGCAAATGTTGTTTCTAAACTCACCAATCGGCATGTTTGTTTTGGTCACGTATATAGCTTTAACGCTGATTAACGCATTCTGTCTTTTACGAACCAGTCGAATGAAAACAATACTCAACGAAAATTCGTAGTCAACGAAATGAAGCAGTCGAATACGTCAATGTGTATATTTTAACGAATAAAACTCGAATTTTGTAAACTAAAAGGCGTACTACCAGTTAAATAAATACTGCCTTTTACTTGTTTTTAGGTTTTTGAAGGTAGTGTGGATAATAATAGTTTCTCAAGGAATGTCCTTCCTTACTCAATTTTGACGAATGTCCTCCGTATTATACCGGTCACGTGGCACAATGGTATCTGCCTGAAGTTAGATCTTATTGGTGGCGAGCCGCAAGGTAACGATTCTGCGTAATCATATTATTATCATCATCATTGTCATTATAATTATCATTGTTATATCATTGTAATAATGAATATCATTGCCATCGTCATCGCCATCAGTATCACCATTACCGTTATTATCATTATTACTATTGTTATAAAATTATATTATTATTATCAAATATTTATTATTATTACTATCATTACTATTATTATTATTATTATTAAGGATAATAAACAACCTAAACATTACTTGAACTAAATAGTAATAATTGCACACTAAACATGAAACAAGGCATTATTATTTTTAAAAATGTATAAGAGCTCGGTCATTGTACTATATAATAATTGATTAAAATCATATTTAGTTTCATTTTCATTATAGGTTTATTGTGTTTTTAGTTGAAATTAGTGTTCGAATAAGCATGAGAAACATTTATATTTACCCTCATTTTTAGATTGTATAATGCCAATTGAACCAATTAGTCTTGATCAAGTTAGTGCCACTAGGGATGAAGAAGGTTATTCTGCTAATGACGTGTTTACAACATGCTGGTACACGGAGAATCCACTAGATTGGCTACAGATTGATCTGTTTTACGACTACCTAATAGCAGCAATTGATTTTCGGCAGACTGATAGATCCGGCCCAGGGGAGGCGTTTTATTCAACAGCATACCATATCAGTTACGTGTCCAGTATTCAAGAATCATGGAAACTGTACATAGATAGTAATGGCAATCAGGTAAAGCATATTATGTTAATAATGGCCATTTCCACTAAGCCCCGCCCTAGTATACTGTTGCCAATGTCCAACAACATGTAAATATAAAACATACGCAAGGCACGTGCGTATTTCTGGTCTTGTTTGGTTGGTCTGATTGGTCAGTTGTTAAGTTTGATTGACATTCTGGAAAGATTCATTTACTTAGTTATTGTCGGTATTCAGTATTTATTGGCACTCACTTTAGTAACAGTGGCATACACCAATTGTGGTGCGTGCATACATATACTACAATCATGACATTTATAAAAAGAACACTAATTAAAATAAGATACAAAACTAAAAAATATTGATTGACTAAAACAATAATAACAAGTAATTATAGTATTAATTATAACGAAATGTGTAAAGTATTACCAAAATTTGTGACAATTGAACTATATGATAATGAAATATAATAGTAAAAATAATCATTTAACATGTAGGTTATTAAAACATTTATGAAGACTTTGATTGAAGTTGGTAGAACATGACTATTTATATCGAGGCTATTCCATATGGTGTCTCCTCGATATGAGTCGTTTTTTATAGTCAGTGTAATGGTAGAAGAAATAAAAAAAACATGTAATATGTCTGAAGCTAAAAATAAAGCATCGTTTATGGTGGGGCATGTTTGTTCATTATTATACATAATCATTATCGCCATCATTATCACCATCATCATCATTATCATTATTATCATCATCATCATCATCATCATCATCGTCATCATATTAAGAAAAACATTAATAATTATGAGACAGTGTGCTGTTGTTGTTCTCCTTGTAATTATGTTTAAAATTGTTACACCCTCTTTCCAGCATGTTGTGTTTATGGGTAATATTCCTGAACTTTAATAAGACGTGTAAGATTATCATGACTATAAGATAACTATCGATGTATACACACGGAGCTATCCATTGTTTACTTACGATTCTAAAGTATGGTATTTTTTAACAATATTATTGGAATTGATTTCATCAAATAACATTAAAACAGAAGAAAATCTTTATTTACTTTTAAAAGACATGCAAAGGCTTTTTATTTCAAGTGCTTTAATTATAAGTTTCTATTTGTTATATTCTGTGTTCTTGAAAGAAATGTGTCTATGCATGTATGAGGACTGCCTGGATTCATATTAATTAAGAATAAATTGTAAATATTGTCTTTTCTTTTATTTACTTACAGAATATTACGGAATATAACTACATGGAGCTGGATCACCCATTCACTGCCAACAAAATTAGGATTTTTATTGATGGCGGTTGCATGCGTATTAATAATATTTATGGATTTCCTGTAAATGGTGTTAAGCTGCCTGTCTGTAGGTTTCCAATCTTTTACTACTGTTCATTTAACTTATTGTTTGAGATTCTACTACCTATACAACACAGTACCGTATGCCTATTATCATTGCTATAACAAATAAATTTTCTTTTTCCCCAATTCAAATACAGGATAAATTCTATTATGTATACACTACTTATTATCACATGATATCAAAATGAAATATTGGAATATATGTAGGACATTTACTGGCTTAATTTTCTGAATTTTTCTTTTTCCTCTGTTTATATTCTTAAGCACCTTGAGCATTTCTTTAAAATGCATATGAGCGCTATAGAAATCGTATCTATTATTATTATTATTATTATTATTATTATTATTATTATTATTATTATTATTATTATTATTATTATATAAGATAGTTAATTCACACCAATGCCTTAAGCACGTACTTTTAGCTGACTTCCCCTTATACTGCTTAAACGTCGGCCGATGCGATTTCTATGGATAAGCGCAACGCCACGACGCGTGCACAACTGACTTACGGTACGTCTTAGCTTTAACCATGGAGGTAAATATATAAATAATACATAGGCAGTATATACATATAAATAATTGATATTATAGAGATATACTCTAAGCCATCTTGTATACATATAAACGTTGAATGTTAAAGCACCGAAAACAAGAGTTGTTCCACGCATGATAAGAGTATGAAGAATGAGTCGCTTCTAATCAGATTTGAATTCCCAACAAATCCACAATGACCCATTTGGTTAGTCCTGCATAGACAGCAGTGAGTTGTTACTAAACTTCATTATTTTTAATGTGGTTCACTTTTCTTTGGGATATATTAACAGATTGTGATATCAGTTCGGAAATGGATCAACAAATGGGAATGGAAATGGACGATCAAGTTTCAAAGTTTTACAGTAAGTAGAATAAGGATCATTTACAAATTAGTAGAATCCATTCTAAATGTAGATCCAAATTACGAATTGCTTGTTTCAAAAACAAAAAAAAAGAAGAGAATTTTTTTTTTGTAACATTACTAAAAAAAACGTACCAGGGGTGGCCCCGGTGGTTAGGACTGTGCTGGAACGCTTGGCGCAGCCGTCGGAGAGTCGTTATTTGCTCACTACTAACAAGCTCTTTAAACTTTCTTCCACTTTTAGCTGACTTCCCCTTAAGCCTGGTTTCCTGTCGACGTAAAGTTCAGAATTTCTTACGATTCATACGATTCTTACGACTGTTACGAGAAGTTGGACAAAAACAGCCGCGTCTTGATCGTGCTGGGCCGCAGACAAAATAAGCCGGTTACGATTTTTACGATAAGTTGAATTTTTCAAGCTCGAACAGCAAAGCCTCTTCTAACGTCGTCACTTGCATGTTACGTCAAGTTGAATTTTTCTTTGCGACTGCGATATGTTAACATTTCTCACTTCCTCATTAAAATTACCTGGCGAGATTCGAGGACAATTTTCACCGTTGGATTTAAACAATAGTCTAGTCCTGTAGTACAGAATAAGGGCCTACAAAATTCGATTTGCTAACTTTCTCGTTATCAATTTTAGTGTTTCGTTCTCAAAATATCAATTTGGCCTATATTGTACTTTGTTTATTTTATTTCACCTTATTATATTATGTTTTGAACTGACAGATCTTATCTCCAGATATACAGTTATACAGAAAACATGATTTAAATGTTAAAATTCGGGTTGTATAATATAAACATGAATTAAAATTAAGAATGAAATACACTTGAAAAAATTGTTTATTGAAATTAACAGAAAATATTCCAACTGGCAATAGACCTATATATTTTATATTTTAGTTATTAATTTATATTATAATGTTTTATACATAATTTTTATATTATAGGCCTATACGTTTTTTTGTATAATAAATGTAATTTATTAAATCTAATTGCGCCGTCAGGTGGTGGGGGGGGGGTGAGTGAGACAGACGGATTAATCCCCCATCGGTCTGGTAATTTCCCCAACGGTCTTGTCAAGCCCCCTCCCCACCCATCAGCCAAAGGTCATCGGGCAGTCGGACCAAAAAAAAATAAAATAAAATAAAAGATAGGCCTAGTTTTCCCATCCCAGCCAATCAAGAAGTCAAGCAATCCCTCCCATACCCCGGATCCAGCCTTCGGCCCTCGGATAACGATGCGCGCTATATTTACACCCATAAATACTTAGCCCCCCCCC